ATACGACGAATGCAAGTGCTCCGGCTCCGGTTGCGCTGCTTGGCTGCTTGCTTAACCAAACCGCTTCTTTCGAAGCGATCGCTCGCGGCACGGTGTGATAACGCTGTTGCCGCAGTGATTATTATCGTTTCTATGCGAGAGAGTCGTAAACTGTCTTTTTCAAGACAATTGGTTTCTTGTTTCTAAAAACGGAGTCAAAACGTAAACTGTCTTTTTCAAGACAATTTGTTTCTTGTTTCTAAAACGAAGTAAGTCTAAAACTTTTGGTAAAGGTATTGTGGAAGGTATATGGTAAGGTATTCGGTGGTACTGGTAACTGGTAGGTATGTAGTCGTGCGGTGCGGCTACAGACTGTTGTTTATTTTAAACCCCCTTTATCCTTGGACTGCGTTGCTCAATAGTCCCCATTAGTCCTTCACAGTAAAAGACAACTCAAATATAACATAACATAATGTTATTACGCCTTTTATCCCCGAAGGCATAGGAAGACTACCTCGTTGGCCGAGTGATCGCAAGTGCAAGTGCCAGGCAAAGGGTATCGGATTGGATTCCCAGGTCGACCAAAGTATTACTGTATTTGAAAAGAAATCTCAGTAGTAGCACGGAGTCTGGAAATGTGCTCGGTATATTGTACAGTGGCATTAAGTGCCGTAAATGTGCTCCTCAAATATTTACAACCGTATTTATTAAATGTAAGAAATACCAGTACAATATCTATAAGAGGCCTACGAAAAATATATGTTCAGTCTACACAGTTATTATTCCCACTAGAACGGTATAATATTCACTTGAATAACCAAAAGGTAAGTCCATTATACAATATCTGATAGTACCCATAGTACCCAGGCGTCACCTGCCACCAATTACATACTGAGACCCTTCAGGGTAGTAACACGTTCGCCGTATAGGATACTTCTTGATATTTATTACAATTGGTCGGTAACATGTAACTGCCGATCATGGTCTTAGGATCAAGGTTTCCGGCCAGTGTAAGCGCGGGCCTGTGGACGGCGAGCATGGGTGGCTCGCTGCCCGACCAGAACCATACCCGAGCGTACGGCGTATCGCGTTCTACGCGCGCCTCAAAGAGCCTTCAGACCACCACGGATGGGGCCCAATAGGGCTGATGATACGTGTAGGAGAAAGAACGGGGTGGTTTTTAGTCAGTAAGAGTCTGACACTTCCTCTCGCCTTACCTAGGCGGGAGCTTCAATGATTTTCCCCCTTAAAAAAAAGGATCAAGATTTATTGCGTGTGGTAAAAATTATTAAACGCACTTTCAGTTATTTAACCTTTCGTCTGTCGTAACATATTCATCTACGCGAGACACAATATATTTTCTATTGTGGCTCATATATCGACAGACAAGAGGTTAAATTAGAGTTCTTTATTATTAAAAAACCTTGTAAAACTGCATAATGTACCTGATAATGGGATACTTAATCATTATTTATTATTATCTGTCTGAATTTGTCCACTCTAGAACAAAAACTTCCTTTAAAAAAAAAGGATTTTGCCATAGACTCGGCCTGGCAACTCTAGCAAGCTTGATGATCACAGGATGTCTACCCACGGTAGCCACCTGCTTGTTGTTTTAGGACGTAGGACATAACCAAATCCTAATAATATATATAGACTTTCTAATACAATATGATCAAATGTCACTGTCATGTGCAAAAGTTACTTATTATATTTATTAGTGTTAAATTAATAATAAAGGATTTGTCTTTTATTGCCCTTTATTTCGATGAATTATACAGGACCTGGATGACCGAGCTTAGCTCGGTGTTTTGCTTTTAGTGCATATTTATTTTGGAAAATAAAGAAAAAGTACAGAAAGGAAAAGAAAAAGAAATAGAAAACAAAATAGAGCAAAAAAGATAAATAGAAAACAGGAATAATAAATGAAACATTCGGACCGAGGTATGAACTCGAATGTCCTGCGAAGAAGGCGTCCTTTTTTTCTTCTATACTGTTTGAACTCTATACGTCACGGTGAAATTAAGGTTCGTTATCTAATAAGGATTTATTTTTCAATGAAAACACGTACAAAACGACATTTTCTGAAAATGAAACCCAACCAGATCGATTAATCAACCCCGAAACCTTCTAGAAAAAAAATTTCAAGTAAATCAATGCAACCGTTTGCGAGGTCGTTGAAACATATTATATA